TAATAAATACTATGTGTATGTTACAATGTAGAGGTCTTCGACTTATAATAAAGATGTTTAATTCATATTTTCCTTCATGTATCTAATCTATCGCGTCAATCACAGATGATAAGAATGGTGATTTTTAAATGCAAATATATGGATCACGGTCCATCACGGGCTACATCACTGTTGATTAAAAAAGCGAGTATAGGAAGCCCTGGTGGCAGATTTTGCACACATAATCGCTTGTGTATTTTCGGGATTATGTATATATGATCGAGAATTTTATCTAATTTTTTTTTGGCAAAGTGAATTCTTTGTGAACCGAGTTCACGAAGTGATTGATGATTTTTTTCAAGTAATCATGTAATTTTTATTAACTTAAGCTTTTGAATATTTCTCTATCTTATATAAAACAATGGCAAACACACAGGCCAAAAGAGGCGAATCTAAAGATTCATCTAAAATCGATTTATTAGAACAATAGAACTCTAAGCTCGTAGTCGAAATTAGTGAACTTAAAAAGAAGTATACTGAGTTCGAGGCTGAGAACGTAAGTTAAGACAGGTCATAGAAGAGAACACTGATCTCAAAACCAGGTTGGAAGAGTTAGAGAAAAAAATAAAACGGATACTGCAAACCTTATTGCTGAAAATGTTGAGTTTAAAGACAGAGTTATCAAATTAGAACAAAAACGGATCCAGGTTATCACTAACGAACGGGACGTGACTTCTACAACCCCGAATAAACCAAAATTTCAACCCAGCAATACTAACTTTACACTTTTATATGAAAAACTTTGTGATGCTATAATTCTTGCTGATTGTAAAACCCAAGAAGCTATCGCGTGTTATTGCCTATTTGGAAAGGCTCTTATTCAAAGACGTAATGAAATAGCATCGGAAAAACAAGTTGATCCAGAATCCAATACTGTTAGTAGAATTTTAAATAAAGAAGTAAAATTACAATTACCCGCAGACACTTCCGATAGCCTTTTACGTAATAGAATCGAAAAAGCAAAGAAGCTTTACAAACTTTTTGATGCAATAGGTATGGATAAAATTTATCGCATTCATTCCTTTTCTGCCGACAGCATATCAAAATTAACAAAGAAAGAAATTCAGTATATTATAGATAATGTATCCTTTGATTATAGCATTGGTGTGAGCCTGTCTCCAGCTGAGTTACGGGATGATGAGAAAAATTCTGTATTAACACGCATAACCCAACTTTGTGAACCAAGTTCACGAAGTGATCGGCAAAATTCTTGCGAGGAGGAAAATAAAAATTCAGGAATCGAGATAAGTACTGTAACCGCTCCTTCTATTCCATTAATTCATACCCCTAATTCAGAAATCGAGGTAAGCAAGAAAGTCTCACGAAATGAGGATGCTATGGTGGCTATCATCTATAAACCGCACAGTCCGAAATTTCGGATGTAGATCACCACGTGATTTTATAATAAATCACATGACCATATATTTTTTATCATGATAAATATATATTATCTCATAATTTTATTTTATTCAATTCTAATAATACATACTCAGAAATATAATGGTGAGACTTATACTTTCTGGCAGCATATTCTGTTAACTTACTAATGATTTCCTTTCTATATAAATTCATATTGTAATCAATCACCTATTCGCGTGGCGCAGTAGACGTGGCGCAGCATATGGCGCAGTAATTGCCGATCACTACTAAATCGGGTGAATAAGTAATTTTATTAATTAATCTTATTTATAATTAATTCTATTTTTAATCTATATTATTACTCATATTTAGCCTT